CAGCACACAGCAGTCCGATCCAGTGCTGGTTTAACACTGGTCTCGCCCATGACTCCCAGCACACAGCAGTCCGATCCAGTGCTGGTTTAACACTGTTCTGTCCCACTAGTCCCTGAGCGCAGCAGTCTGGATTTTTCCCAACTGCAGGGCCCTTGGACAGACGAGCATGTGTACTTGAGCTCCAAAGCTTGGAGTGTGGTGCACAACGGAGGAACAGCGCCCCGCAGAGGGGGCAGCTCTCCCGGGAAAAGGGTCGATCACGCTGTACCACCCCATTCCGGCTCAGAACCCAGCAGCGCTTCCACCTCTCCGGGAGCGATACACTGCGCTCCAGCTCGGAGAAGGGCCAAACCAGTCCCGTCCAGGCTAAACTGGGCCAGCCCGTGACAACGTCGGACCACGAGGAGCACGACGCCGACGACCACGGCAGCACAAAGACGTGAGTGAGTGAAGGCCTTGCTCTCGCTCTGCAGGACTGGATCAGACTGCTGAGCACTCAGAATCCCACTGGCGATGTTAATAAAGCCTGGACTGGATCAGACTGCTGTGCACTGAGAATCTTGCTAGCAACACTACAGACCTGGAGTGGATCAGAAGGAAGTTCCCTTTGAGACCGATTCATTTTCCCGTTTCCACATCCATCTCACGTCTTGTTTATAGATGAGAATCAGACTCCTGCCGCAAAGCCGTTTGATCCATTTCAGGTTTTACCCACCAACCCGAACGGAGACTCGGCCCGGCCCGGCAGGACCGGACACGCCGGCGTCGTGAAACCTTACCTGAGGCACCGACCTCGGCACTGCTCACGCCGGCAGCCGTACTCCAGGAGCCATAGCCTGCAACAGAGCACAGCACACAGGACTGTGAGGCCTGTCCCCCTGCGCAAAGCGCACACGAGCAGGCCGGCACAGACACACACAGACGCACACAGACGCACACAGACGCACACAGACGCACACAGACGCACACAGACGCACACAGACACACACAGACACACACAGACACACACAGACCCCGGCTCGGCGCAGGCACAGGGGTGCGTCTGCGTGTTGGATCAGTAACACTTCTTGAATCCATCCCTTTTCGAACACCTCAGCAGCACCAACCTGTTTCCTCCACTCTTGGCCCCTGCAGCTCAACCCTCTCCGAGGCCCCACCACAGGAAAGGGTGTCTCCTTCTCCGATTCTGCCGGTTTTAGGGGGTCACCATTATATCACGCCCTTTCCGAAGGTTTGGGACAGCCTCAGTGTGACCTTCATTGTGGTTCCTCATCGGACAGGCCCACCTCTCCATCCCTGTTCAGACCACTTCTTCCAATTCGGGCCTATCCCAGCAAGCAATGGGTGCAAGGCAGGGAGAAACCTTGGAAGGGACGCCTGTCCATCACTGGACACGCACTCACACCAGGACCAATCTTCCCACTGACCAATTCACTCACCAGCAATCGCTCTGGACTGTGGGAGGACGCCCACGTGAATGGCGGGTGGGAACATGCAAACTCCACACAAATAGCACCCCAGGAACTGAACCCAGGTCCCCAGGACTGAGAGGCAGCAGTGCGGACTGCTGCCCTACCCTGCCATCCTAAATGAATTTGTGACTCGCTTACTTCATCAAAGCTGGAGTTTGCGCTCCTGGGAAATGGGGTACAGAGCTGCAGACACCCCTACTTGAGACAGACAGGGAGACTGTCGGACATTTCCATACACCCTCCCTGCGGGAGGGGCAGGTGACACAGATTACGCTGCGAGCACCCGACCTGTCAGAGCCCCTGTTGTCTTGGGGTCTCGGACCAGGCTGCCCTCTCGCCTCCATTTTCCAAAATTAAGCAAAGCCATCCCCCCCACCCCACCCCGCACGGACTCCCGTCAGCACAAAGACACGTACAGGCCGCCGCCAACCCGGCCGGCTGTAACGCCCCGCACGGGTCCGGGCTGGACCGGAAAACCGGGGTTCGAGGGAGCAGTTATTTCGCCCACAAGCCGTCGCGACTAGGGCTCCGGCCTCTCGCACGACGTGACAGGGGGAGAAGAGGTAGCGAGGCGGCCATTTTGAGTCGAGCTGCGAATCCAGCGACCGTCCGGCAGCTCGCCAGCGGCACCCCTCCGCAACAACAACAACACTGACAGCCTCCGTGCTGCTGGCGAGCACGGCGCGGTGCAAACGCTGCGAAGGAACGGAGTTGAAGAAAGCAAAAATAATAATTGTATTCAGAAGCCGCCGCCGCCGCCGCCCCCCCAACAGCAACACGCCTCCTTTCGAGTCCGTACCGTCAGCGCGTTGCTTTCACACATCAGGACACGAGAAACCCCAAAATCAACGCGATTCAATGCGTGCAGTGTATCATTGTGCAAGTTAGCACGCTCGGCAGGTCAGTCGTGACCAATTCTGGCTCCGTGATTGACTCTGGAGAGCCTGCGACTCCGATCTCGAACCGGCTGTCAACGTCCGGACAACTAAAAGCCTGAATAATCGACGCTGCAACGTTAACCGCCCGGAACCCCGCTGTATTTCTGCCAGGGTGCCTACACCTCACCAGTCTGCACTGCGCAGGGCTGTTAACCGGGCTGAAAGCGTCTCGGGTCCAATACCATAAAAATGTTCCGACATTACAGAACTGCGTGGTTCCAGACTAGCACAGAGAGCACAGGTATGGGGCACGGGGAATACGGGGGGCTCACGCAGACAGAACAACGATTTCGGGGACGGTTAGCGTTTTCTTTTTGTTGAAACCAGCAAAAGATACAAAAATAAGTGCGTAGCTAGCAAAGCGAACAACGTCCATAGATGCAAATGCACTGCGTTTAAAACCAGCTTCTGCGACATGGATTTTGATCAAGGGAGCCGCACCGCAGTGTTTAAGTGTTAGGCACGGAACCCCTTACATTATTATGAAAAATGTAGAAATATAAACAACTTAAAGGTTCATTTCTTCCTGACTGACCTCCGTAATCGTTGCCATCCATTCTCCCCGTCTTCTCATTGGAACCAACTCGAAGAGCCTGGGAAGGGGCGAACCCGCTACGGAAAAACCCTGCCCAGGGGACAATCTCATTGGGCGACTGCTTGACCTGAGCATCACCCATTGGTTTGTAGAGGCATCAGTCATCCACGACATCAGCAGCTGGATTGCAGCGATTGGGTGGAAGCTAACGTCAACGAAGCGTTGCCTTAAGGAAGGAGCATATGAGTTGTCCTATTGGCCAATACTAGTGTCAATCACAATTCACTTGCATTGTCATTGGTTAGAATTCCTGTTAGTCACCATGTGCCCGTTAGTCAAGAGCGGGAGAGGGGGGATTCATCTCTGATTGGTGGAGCTGGTCGTATTCATTGTCGAATCAACGCGCCACTGCCTGTAACGCGCCTTTCCTATTGGATGCTGTTTTTCCAGTCACCAAGTAGGAGGAGGTTTGGGGTTCATCAAGCAAAAAGACGTCTAATGAATTAATTTACACAGAACGGGATTGTAAAAAAAAATGTGACGGGTGTAATAACAGGTCAGGATGAAGTAGTACTTGTCAGTACTATTTCAGTGAGTTTTATACGCCCCTACTTATGATAATTCACATCAGAACATACGGATCACTTTTCCACCCAATAAAGTGCGTTATTTGAATGCAGTCTTAAAACTGAAACCTGAGCTCCCTGCCTGGAGCCAGTCCAGCACCAGACCTGCCCGCGCCTGATTGCGCTGAATGTACAATATCAACAGGAAAATTCACTGCGGAACTAAAACCTGGACTCCTGTACTCGCACAGTGCGATCGCCCGAACAGCACCGAGCCGAGCGTGGCGACAGACGAGTCTCTTACACACGGCCTGGGGTGTTGGGGCAGCTCCCGCCGTCCTGCTCGGTCCCTCAGTTTGGTGAACTGGAGACCCTAATCCCCCACGCAGTCCTGACCCCAGAACCCCCCAGGGAAGAGGCGGTACGGTCTGGGCTCCCGGACTAGGGTCGACTTCCAGAAGCGGTAGGGTAAGCGGGGGCGACGGATTGTACAAATTCAGGACCGAGTCAGTTATTTCCCTTCCAGCAATTCTTTGCGTTTTGCTCTCCCGAAAACCCTCCTTTTCTGAACATTCAAGGGGACACTCGTGTTAATTACCGCTATATAATGGTACGTGATGTATACATAATAGAGTGGTACAGTGGCCAGGACTGTTGCCTCACAGTGCGGGGGTCCTGGGCCCAGTTCCTGGGGTCCTGTCTGTGTGGAGTTTGTATGTTCTCCCTGTTTTCGTGTGGGTTTCCTCCCACAGTCAAAGGAAATGCTGCTGGGTTCTGGGAAAGTTGGCCCAGGTGTGAGTGTCTCTGTGTGCCCTGTGATGGACTGGCGTCCCATCTAGGGTGTATCCTGTTTTGCACCAGTTGCTTGCTGGGATAGGCTCTGTCTCCCCCAAACATTTGAAGATGTTTTTAACAATATATCGCAATTATAAGTATATATGTATGAGGTCTACATGCCAGTCACTGAGCATGCCATTCTTGTCTACCTCTTTGAAAACACAGGTAAATTTGTCTTTAGTTCTGCAGTGAATTTGCACTTTTGTGCATTTTTGTTTCACATTGAGGATAGGGATAGTAGATTTTTTTGTGTGTGGAAAATGAATGAATGGAAAATACCAGACATTTCAAAATATTTGGAAGTTCCTCCGGGATGGAGTTGTAAAGACCAAAAAGGTGGATGTGTCTGGGAAGGTATGGATGGATTTTTGTGGTCGGAATCGGAAGCAGTGATGACTGTTGTACTGCGCAAGGTGATAATAACAACAACAACAACAACAACAACAACAACTCCTTAGGTTTCTATAGCACTTTTCTGGACACTCCACTCAAAGCTCTTTACAGGTAATGGTGTTCCCCTCCACCACCACCAGTGTGGAGCATCCACCTGGATGATGCACCAATACTCTCACCACACACCAGCTCTTAGTGGGGAGGAGAACAGAGTGATGAAACCAGTTCAGAGATGGGGGTTATTGGGAGGCCAGTGAGGGCCACTGGAGGCCAGCAGCCATATCACCCTGCAACTCACAACTGGCAGCCCACTGAAGCTCAGCAGGTGTGAGCCTGGTCAGTACCTGGATGGGAGACCTCCTGGGAAAAACTAAGGCTTCTGCTGGAAGAGGTGTTAGTGGGGCCAGCAGGGGGCACTCACCCTGTGGTCCATGTGGGTCCTAATGCCCCAGTATAGTGATGGGGACACTATACTGTAAACAGGCGCTGTCCTTCGGATGAGATGTAAAACTGAGGTCCTGACTCTCTGTGGTCATTAAAAATCCCAGGGTGTTTCTCGAAAAGAGTAGGGGTGTATTCCCGGTGTCCTGGCCAAATTTCCCCATTGGCCCTTACCAATCATGGCCTCCTAATAATCCCCCTCTATGAATTGGCTTCATTACTCTGCTCTCCTCCCCACTGATAGCTGGTGTGTGGTGAGTGTACTGGAGCACTATGGCTGCCGTCGCATCATCCAGGATGCTGCACATTGGATGCTGGACATTGGTGGTGGTGGTGGAGGGGAGTCCCCATTACCTGTAAAGCGCTTTGAGAGAAGTGTCCAGAAAAAGCGCTATATAAGTGTAAGCAATTATTATTAATTAATTAATATAATTTGGCCAGGACTGAATTAACACCCCTACTCTTTTTGAGAAACGCCCTGGGATTTTGAATGACCACAGAAACTCCCATTTTTTTACATCTCATCCATAGGACGGCGTCTTTTTACTGTCCCCATCACTATACTGGGGCATTAGGACCCACACAGACCGCCGGGTGAGCGCCCCCTGCTGGCCCCACTAACACCTCTTCCAGCAGCAGCCTTAGCTATCCCAGGAGTCTCCCACCCAGGTACTGGCCGGACTCACACCTGCTGAGCTCCAACTGCCAGTCGTGAGTTGCAGGGTGATATGGCTGCTGTGTTGAGGTTTGTATGGCGTGGGGGAAAGCTGATCAGGTCGCTGGGCACAGAGGCTGCACAAAGCCCACACCTCCCTCAGGCTCTTAGGTGCTGGGCCTGCAGCTGCAGCCCTTGTGGGCTTAAACCTTATATTTTAACGTCATTTCTCACAAACAGCGCAGAGAAAGTGTCACCTGTGCAGAGACGTGATCTGGCGAGGCTATTACAACAATTCAACTCTTTCTTCACCGCCAGGCAGCTGACGCATTTTAACAAGTGTGTCCACTTTCCAGACGTGTCGGCAGGTGGTCCGAACATTCACAGGAGACGTTTGGAAATGACAGCCCGGAGAAGTCGTTTTACAGAGTTTTTCACGTATTTCTGACCTGTTTAATAAACAGATGAACACGTGTGCGTATCCTTGCTGGAAGGTGTCCGATTCTGTGGAGCGGACGGCGGATGGAAACACTCCGGGATCTCAGGGGCCTCAGACTCTGTCACTGTGGGGCCACAGTGTCTCTGATTCCTCACTGGTGGTCACACACTGGGTCTAATGGATTCATTGATTCAGGTTACTGATTTCCTCTCATTTTGTTTTTTTCTTATCCCAAACTGCTTTGACAAGCCACTTTTACAGGTGCTATTATTATTATTATTATTATTATTATTATTATTATTATTGCTAATAATAAATCAAAGAGCCTTTGTCGCGCTCCGAGGAAGCGCCGGGTTTGCCACACTCAAGATGGCGGCCCGCAGCGGTCATGCCTGCCCCTCCGCCGCCACCCCGGCGGGCCTGCGGGGAGCATTATGGAGTCGCGCCGCTCGTATCCGGGAAGAGCCGAGGACAGCCGAACGCGCCCAGTGACAGCTAAATAGCAGCGACACGGAGACACACACACGCACAGAAAACGCACGCATAACACACGCAAAAAAAAAAAAAAGATTACAGCATGCAACACGGCGTTGTTTAAAGGGCCAAGGAGTTAACTCCTTGAAACGCAACCAGGCCATTTTTCCCGTAAGTACTGAACTAGCAGTCCTGCGCAGAACCGGGCGGTTTTGTCTTTTTTTTTTCCCTCCAGGCGTTGTTTATACCAGACTAGAGCCCCGATTACAGCCTTGGCTTTGGCTTAGCTCGCTGGACGAGTCGAGAAAGAGCGACTTTAATTTTTCCTGGATATTTTACTAAGTAATGCCAGACCCTGGCTTGCATGGCAGTCCTTGGGGGCTCCCGCAATGTCTGTATATATATATAAAAAACAAAACAAAAGCGGAGACTTGTTTCCCAGCGGACTGTGCAGAAACACTCACACACACCTTCGAATTTAGGACAGTCTGACCTGCGCTCGCTCGCCCGCCGGGAAGGCGCCTCTCTCCGGGATCGGAGCGAGGCCCGCCGGAGGAGCGGCCCCTAGTCCTCACCAATCGCATGTTGCTGTCGCTGGAGGTGTTCCTGCTGTGTCTGCGCTTGTCGATTTTGGCGGCGATGTTTGTCTCGCCGGACAGGGTGCGATGGCGGTGGTGTTGCCACAGAGGGGCGACAGTCGTGATGTTGTATCAGACAGGGGGCGATAGTGGTGGTGATGTAGTTGTATCAGACAGGGGGCGATAGTGCTGACGTTGTCGTTGTTGTTGGATTACACTGGGGGCGATAGTGGTGACGTTGTTGTTGTTGTTGTTGTTGTTGGATCAGACGGGGGGGGTGATGTTGTTGTTGGATTGGACAGGGGGCAACGGCAACGGTGGTGACATCTTTGTTATTGGATCGGACACGGGGCGATGGTGGTGACGTTGTTGGATCGGACTGGGGATGACGGAGGTAATGTTGTTGGCGTTGGACCGGACGGGGGGCGATAGTGGTAACGTTGTTTTATCACATGGGGGGCGATCGTGGTGATGTTGTCGTTGGATCAGATGGGGCGACAGTGGTGACATTGTCGTTGTTGTTGGATC